TAACATAAATACAACTCTTCTCTTTACATTGAATTAATGTGTTGTTATTATACAACACCTAATTAAGATTATACAATAATTCTTATTAACAAATATTTCATCACGGATTATCTTTAAATGAGAGATATAAATTGAACAGAATAAATGTAAATTCAAATACAATTTAATTCTAATATTTAATCAATCAATAGTTTTTTATCATGTGTTTTATGTCTTTGAATATTCACTGATTCTTTAATACAATACATCAAGAAAACAACGTAACAAAACAAAATGGCACCACTTATTAACAAAACAATTTCAATTCATTTTATCCACCAATCACATACCTTAATTTCGTTTTATATTCATAACTTTAAATATCTTTCCAACTATGTGAATCAAATGAAATTCAATCAATGACTATTATTCTCTTTTAAAAAAGAATCAAGTATTTTAAAGAAACAAATTACATTTTTATTACTCTCTTCTTCTACCTATCTCTTTAAATAAAATAAGAAGAAAATTTTTAAAAGTTATTTGTTCAACAGTTCAAAATCTTTGGAAAAAGAGTGTCATTTTTAATAAATCTAAAAATAGTTCACTAAAGAGAAGAATAAAGAAGATAAATAAAAACTTCAGAATGGGACAAAACAAGAATTTTTCAAGAATAAAAAACTATAAATAAAAATATTTAGAGATTTACCAATCAATAATAAAATAAAAAGTGATGTATTTTCGCTAACATGTCAAATTCTAAATCTAAAAAAAATAAAATAAATAAAAATAAAAAATAAAGAAAGGTAGTAAAAAGAATAGAAAAGATTAATAATCAAAAGAGAAAAAGTAAAAATAACAAAAATATAAAGGAAGTTAAAGTAAAAATTAGGGAATTTAAGAGAAATAGTTCGAGAAGAAAAGTCAAAAGAAATAGTTGATTTTAATATTGATTTTTATATAGAGGAATAAATAAGAAGAAAACTAAATATATTATTGTCACTCATTCACAATGCAACAGCTACTCACCATTGAAAATGAAAGAAAGTATATTGATGTAAATAGATGTGTAGCGAAAGTATCTCAAACATCATCAGATGTAGTGAGTGGCAGTCAAGATATAGTCAAATCTGATTATCAAAAATTAATTAATTTTGCTAAAGAAAATGAAATTAAAGAAAAGAAATTAAAAAATACAACGTTACCACAAAAAAGAATTGCAAAATTAACACAATCGAATTTAAAATCAAAAAATCTTATAGGAATTACTCGATCAATGCTTAATC